AATTAATTTAAAAATCAAAAACCTTCTCTTCTAAAACCTGCAGTATATTCTCCTGATTTTCATGATTACAGACATATTAACTACATCAGTCAATATAATATATTTGCGTAAGGTGTAAGGATTGCCTGATAGCACACTAATGGCAACAGGAGATTCCCATTAGCTTTAGTGACCTTGCAATCAAGTTTGTAATGCACATCACTGCATTATGGCAATTTTAAGTACCTTGTATTCATCTAGAGCTTGCATGGATATTACTTTTTTTTAATTGAAAAGGATCCAAATGACAGATACATAAACCTAGTTTCTAATGAAACCAAGGTATCTAAATTACATGCTCTAAACATCAGCGTGCTTCCCAAGTCAATCTTCCAGTTATTTACACTGCATTCCTTGGGACAACAAAGTACACAATGATTAATACAAACTATTTTCTGAACACAGACTTCTTCTCACCTGATATAAACATCAGGAAAACAGAAACTATGAGCAGAAAAGTGACTGCTCACAGATTAATATTAATATCTAATGTATTAGTTTGTGCTGTCTAATCGATTTTGCAAATATATTCTCTCAAGCAGTTTTCAATGGAAATTTTTATAAAAATTAAAAGGTAGCAGAGGCCTGACTTTAGCAGGACACAGGCTTGACCAACAGCTTTCACATCTTGGGCCAAGGATGACTGTCATATTCCAAATTGCCAAGACAAATAATTTTCATATAGCAACTTTATTATTATTGCAGGGTTTTAATAGAAACATACACTTATTAACTAAATCTGCCTTCTTATATGAAAAACAAATCTGTAGAAGTCCAAAGAAATCCAAAACTCACATAAGCCAACATATTAGTTAAAATCCTGAACATGAAACAAAATGAATTTGCATTACATCAACAGTTTTCAGACGAGAACATTTATTGCATGCTTGTATGAAAGACTGTACTAATGCTTATTGAGTGTAAAGGCTAAGTAATTATATACATTTTTAATAATCATGCCCTGTCCTACAAGGAGCTTTATGACACTGAGCTGTATGAGTCTAATTGACACGACTGGAGGTTTAACAAACTCGTGCTATGCCACGTGGAAGAACCTAGGGATTTAAGACTAAAGTTAAAGGCCTGATTCTTATTGCCTTCCAAATGCCAAATGAAAGTATGAGGTCAACTGTACCATCATTACATAGAGAAATTAGCTACCTCATTACCCAAGTAATGCTGATATTTCCATGGGGAGAGCTGATCTTACTTTGGGCAGCTCTTCATGTTTATATTACAAAACGCATAGCTAGTTTTAATAATATAGTATGTAAGACAGTCCAAAGCCACACACATATAAATATACAGACATACACAAAATTTTGTTTGCTCCAAAAGTATATAGAAAACTAGCTGACACTTCAAGTTATTAAAAATAACACTGATATAAAACAAGTTTTGAACTCCCAAACAGTTATAGATGGTTGCAGCTTTCTATGTCATCCACACCTTCACTGCTGAAGTCACACATATTTATATTCATAATCATAGACCCCTAATGCAAACTAATATTTACATAGATGCAAAAATAACACACATAAGCAGTTCATTAGTTATCATGGTAAGAAGTAGCTCTAGAACGGACAACCTCTCAGTTGCCACTGGAACTTTAGAGCATGCTGTGGCATAAACACAAATACAAAAGGTACTGCTCAACAACAAGCTCTTCACTTCTGGTATTTTTCATCTGATCAAGCCTTACCTGACATCATGCATTGATCAGTGTCGCCTGGCTAGAAGTAATATAATTTTACCTAAGAAAATAACTACCTGTAACCACTTTATAATAAAATCATTTACAACTATCCATGGAACAGTGTAATCCTTCCAGTGACTGTAAAGCCTGGTGCACGAAATAGTTCAGTTAACACAGAAAAGCTCTCTGCCTATTCTTTAGAATTTTGCTACTTATTAGAACAGATCTTTTGTTTTCACCGCTGATTATACTATAACAACAGTATAATATTCTAATATATGAGGTGAGGTGTCACTACCCATGGCAGGGGGCTTGGAACTTAGATGTCCAACCCAAACCATTTTATGATTCTATGACTTCAGTGGATTTTCCATTTCTAGTAGTATAATAATCATGTAGGAAACACTTCTGTACGAAACAGGTAATGACACAAGGGGCAATAAAATATCTTCCAATTAAGGCACTATATTAATCATTTACAGACTGGGTTCATTTTCAGAATCCAGCACAGGTTCCCCTTACTGATTTTTTATTTTTTATTTTTTAAGAGAAATTATTTGTTTATGGGTTCACACTGTATCTAAGATGGTACTAGCACTTCTTAGATATACATTCCTCATCTTTCTTTGTGTTGTTTGGCAAGTACGCAAAATCTTTGCCAAAGGAAACATCCCTTTTCTGTGCACCATGCAGGCACTAACCCAAATAATGGCCAAAGAAAATAATTTCTGTTGATCCCTCAGTGGTGAGGGGTAAGCAGCTACCAATTCAAGCATGTAACTGACACAGGCCAGCCTGTAGGACACAGATTATTCTATTACAAACATAACTTATTTTAAAGGCAACAAATTATTTAAGTACACCAGAACACACAAGGAAAAAGAATAAATCAAGCAAACAACAAAAACAGGGAAAAGATGGGGCCGTATCTTTATGAAAAAATACAGCATCATAAACTGAAACATATTTCTGGAATGCCTATCACTGTGTGCCCATCTGCAGCTTCAAACAACAGCATGTCTCTTCTCAACCTCAGGTTCTAGCAACACACATGAAAAATCACAGCACTTTCAAGTCAGCATGAATGCTTGAGGCTCTCGACTCTGAAGCAAAAAACCTTCAAATCCACACTTAGGCATTTTATACAAAACCTACTGGCAACCAGGAAAGCATAGTATACCAGAAAAATAACACCTGGCCGCTATTTTTATATATGTAGTTGAGTACACGTTGCATTTTAAATAAAAGAAATCCAGAGTAGGGAAACAGTGCTTTGTCTCAGACATATGCCAGAAATACAACATTACGGAGATCCTTGCATCACAGACCCAGGTTCTTTGGGCATTCAAAAAGAAAAATAAATCTGCCAGTTCTATACATTTCCCCTTTATTTATATCCAGCAGCAACTAGTACATTAATTCTCGTTTCCTTAAAGTAGCTATACTCTTTAACTTGATGAAAATGTTTGAATAGCCATCATATATTATGCTTCAAAATGAATCTCTAGAAAGCTTGACAGATGGTGTTTTGAAAGATAATGCCAGGTATCTGGTGTGAATCTGACATTAGCATTCCCTACAGGCAACTCACCTTTATCTTTTAAAAATCCACCAAAACACACGCAGTCCTCGCTATACAAGAAGGAATGAGAAAACTAATCATTTATTCGATCTCAGTTGTCCAAAATACAATTTACACATAGACTTGATCCCTAGAAACACTTATTTTATTCCCTGCTTTTAACTTTACTTTGCACATTTTCGATTTTGTCCTTCATGCATTTTCCTCCTTCACCATGCATACAAGCACATACTCTCAGTAGATACCTCCCCCCGCTGGGAAAAGACCGAACTGCAAGGTGCAAAAAATACATCCCTCCAGTAAGGACTTTCTTTGTCATATGCCTATGAAAAGTAGCGTGGCTGCCCCTTCAGCAGCAAGATAGCTATGACAAAAGTGTGCTAAATGTGTCAGTATTCATACTGAATTTCCAAGCTATCAAACAGAAGCACTCAAACAAAACCTGGACTCCGTTATCTTCATACACAGTCAATAGTAATTACATAGACTGCTGACAAGACACAGACAATTACTGCTGCCAGTCCAAGTTTTAATCCATTATGATTTTCCTTAAGATATAACAGAACTTTGGATATTATTCACCACCTCTGAATGTGCAGTTATTTCAATTTGTGACTCTCTCAAGGGCCTAACCATACACTTCTTTGCGCTAGCTTCAGTCAAGTGTTTGATAGGTTGTCCTCACTTATGTGCTGTTCTTTACACTAGGTTCCAAGTTTAACAGGGATTATTGAAGTTACTATTATATACCTCAGAAAAAAACAGAAGTATTAAACAGAAATTACTGGGTTACACTTCTGCAGGAATTTAAATGCTGTACCACAAGGCCTGCACTCAATAACTATGTTGAGTAGTTACAAAAAGATACTAAATGATAAACTTTTTTCAAAAATCTCCAGTAAAACTAGCTCAACATATAGCAAGGAAAGCAGACTAAATTACGGTGAACAACAAAATGTTATAAGCAGTAAATTCTGGATCCTCATATGATACCAAGAGAAAGTGCTCAATGTCCTGGATGAAACAGTGTCATGAAATTGATAAGCCATATCCAATCAATGCTTGACATTACGCAGTCAAGTAGAATAGTGTCCCATTAACGGCACAATAGCATTACCATGTAGACCGTATTACTTCAGCATGGGAAAGAAGAAATAATGAGTTTAATGAGAAACCAGCGTCTGCCTTTGTGCAAATAAGACCGTGAAGTACGGAAGCCCTTCCCGCAGCGGCCAGCCAAGCACGGCGGAGGCAGTGCACTGCCACCGAGCAGCCAGAGCATCCCGCTTCCCAAATCCGGGAGCAGAGCACACGCTCGCTGCCAGCTGAAGCAGCCACAGCAGAGCACCGTCTGACGGACTGCCCCAACGTGAAGCCCAGTGTGGAGTCCGGGACCACTCAAACCCCACGAACTGCCGCTGCCCGGCCGCGGGCAGCTCCGCGCCTCGCCACATCCACGCGTGACCAGGTCCCCGCTCGCGGGCCCGTCTCAGCGCTGAGGCTAGGGGGAGCGGGGCCGCGCCGCCGGGCCCGACGGCAGCACGGACACGAGTTCCCAAGCTGGCGCCCGGCCAGGGCTGCCGTGCGCCCACACGAAGGGTGGCCCCCGCCCAGCGGAGCGCCCCGGACCGGGGTAGAGAAGGCGAGGCGGCGGCCGCTGGGCCGCTGCGAGCGGAGCCTTACCGTCTGCCAGGAGGCGCATCGCGTGAACAAAGGAGGGATCCAGGCTGTCCTTCTCGGCCATCAGTTCGGGCAGGTACTTCTCCTGCTCCATCGCCTCGTGGCCGCGGCGCCTGGGCACGCCGGGCCGGGCTGCGCGGCCGCCGGCTCGCTGCGCGCCTCCGGTCGGCTCCTCGTCGCCACACCCGCTCGTCTCCCCGCTCGCAGGTGCACCGGCCGCCCGCCACTCCCGCGGCGGGGCGCTGCCCTCAGCGGCGCCGCCTCCGCCTTCCCCTCGCGCCGCGCGGGAGGTGCGGGGGAGAGGGGCGTACGCGAATCGGCGCTGCCGCTGCCCGTAAGCCTCACTCCGCCTTTACACCCCACCCCCCCGCCACTGAGCGACCCTCGCCCACCGCCGGCCTTAACTAAGGAGGCGGGGCCAGGAGCGCCACGCCCTCCGGACGCTCCCATTGGCAGCTGCGTCCCGGCAGGAGGGGGCTCACGGGGGGGGACTCGCTGCGCCATGAGCTGTCGGCAGGCGGGCCGCCTCGTGGCGGCGGGTGCGTTAAGGGTAGAGGGTGTGCGTGTGTACCTGCGTGCGGGTCAGCGCCGGTGCGCTATGCCTGGAGGTGGCAGGGCGAGCTCCCGCGGCGTGTGGTCTCGGGTGTGCAGGTGTGACTGTGTTTGCCTCTGTGTGTGCGACTGTGCCCTGGGGAGCCAGAGCGCGCGTGTCCCGGGGCACGTGAAAGTGCGGGCGGCGGCGGCGGTGTGCCGTGCCGTGGCGCGATGTTTGGGTGATGCGGCTGCGCGTGGATTCGTGCCCCTGCGCGGTCGCGCGCGCGTCTGTGAGCGGGTTCCTCAGCCTGTGCACGCCCGCTGCCTCGTGCGTGGGTCTCGGTGCCCACGCTGCGCGCGTGTTGTGTCCACGCGGAGACGCGCCAGCCGGTGCGCGTGTCGGCGGGTGCGCCGCGCACTCCTCTTGTGGCGCCATGCCTGCAGCTGCGTGCGCGGGACCCCCACCCACGCCTCCAGCGCCCCCCGGCCGCTGGGTGCTGTCCGCGGTGCTGAAGCCGCGGGCGGGGCCGGAGCGGAGGTGCTGCCCGCTGCTGCCAGCTGCTACCCGCTCCCCTCCCTCCCCGCGGCCCCCAGGAACCTCCGACCGCCCTCCCCGAGCTCCGCCGCGCTCGTCGGCTCCCCAGCTCTCCGGTAACGGGGTGCCGCCCCGGTGCTGGAGCTGCCAGACGGCGTCTCCGCCGAGCGTGTAATCAGATCATCAGCGATCGGGCACGGCGGCTTCAACAGCGCCCCAAACGGAACGTTCCCGTCCACGGCTGCTGCTAGGTGCCCCGCGGCCCTGAGGTGAAAGGGCGATCGACGCCGAAGAATGCCATTCTGCCCCTTCAGGAGCACCTCTGTGCAGCCCCCGCGGCTCCACATCACGGAATTAAAGCTACTGTGCAATTAAAGTGTGTACACTTGGAGTAAACAAAATTGATTTTAATTAGAAGTCCGCTTGTGATATACATTTACTGTAGTTTATCCAGGATTTCCCCCCCGACAATTTAGTACCATAGTTTGATTTTGAGGGTAAACAAAAGATGCTTAACTCATCTTAAGCTCTTAAAACTTCATTTGTGGGACCTCAAGAGCAAACCGTCAATCACACAACATGGTGTGTTATGTACAATCCCCATGTGAAATTCTTCCTTAGTACTAACCACTAAGACTGCTAACTTAATATTTATTCTAATGAAACAAATAGTTGCTGGAATAATAAACTTTTAAGTCACCTGCTATTGTTCATCTCAAAAATTTTTTGTTGTGGTGTTTGGATAATTTTTTGTAATTTTTTTTCTTGGCAGAGAATGAAAGAACAAAGAAAGGTAAAAATCAAGGCAGAAACTCTAAGGACATCCACAGGTTTTGAAGACATTTCACAGCCATTGCATAAATATTTGATCTGTGATGTTTTCAAAATCCTAAGATGTATGCAAGCAACCTTTACACAATTTCCACTCAGCATGCAGGTAATTGAGAGACTACATGTGTTTACAAGAATATGTAGAGAATGTCACTGACCAGTGTGTTATTCTATAGGATTTCCAGGGGCAGAGAATACCTGAGAACTAAGTTCCCTGCTGAGAAAGAGTAGCAGCAGGAGAACAGTTGATTTCAGCAAACCTGTGAAACGCTTAAGAAGCAGAGAAGACTGATAGCAAAACTGAAAGGCTTATTTGGCAATAAGTTTTTACTACAAATTGGGTGTGGGGATAAAGGGAAGACGTAAGTCCTCCTGAAACAAAAAACAACCAAGCAACCAAACAACCAACCAAACAAAAAAATAAATAAAACAAATAGAAGCTAGAACTAAGACATTTTGCTGATAATTTACCCCTATTCATTTTCCTGCATGAATAACTTTTCTTCTTTCCCGTTTAACACTGTAACAAGAAATGGCATACCGTTTGAAACACAGCTCAGGAGTGTCTTGATTGAGAGATCACCTCTGTCTTCCAATCATACTTCTATGGCTCTGTTCATTAGAATAAGCCAGCCTAGTGCCCCTTCATTCAAAAAGAGAGAAGAATGATGATTGATAGGTGTATTCTCATAAAGTACCTTCAAGACAAATCTGCTCCGTTCTCACTCAAAAGCAATCCTGATCTGGTGGCTTTTGAAACTTGCCATATGGTCATGTATATGGAAAATGAGTGTTGGGGGCTTTCCATTTGAGGTGTTAGAAGAATAGTGCTACTTTAGTCTGTTTAATTGTGCTTAACCTACTTATATAAAAAGCTTTGATGTAAACACCTTTAAGTTTATTGAACAGAGGGAAGTGCTACATTCATCAAACTCATTTTTTTTCTGGTCAAAAGAGCAGAGAGATTTGCTTCCACATCTTTTTACAGCCAACTAGACAAAGACAAGTTTCCTGTAAGTTCATTTTTCAAAAGTTATAAAGTTAAATTGACTTTCAGTGATACTTAGTCTTCAAAGCCATTGAGATGCTTTTCTGAATTTTACCTTATACCTCATTAAAAAAGAAAAAAAAGGCATTAAAATCTGTCGGACAGGAAATATAGACCTCTAACGACATCAAGCATGACTTCATTGCTAGTTGGAGATTTTTTCTTTTTTTTTTCATAGCTACTAAAAACCAAAGACACATTTTACAACTTTTTAGTTTCAAGTGTCAAGCCAAATTAAAGTTTATCTGTACTATATTTTCTCATTAGGTCTGATAGTGAAGTGGATCACAGTATATCAGATTATAGCTTGTTTGAAGATGGAACATCTAATAATCGTTATGTATTTTTACCACTGCCAACTAAATATATGTGTACTATCATGTAGCACTGAAGTAAAAGGGTGGTAGAAACCAACAGTTGCAGGAAAATCTCCCAAATTTCCAAATGTTTATTTAAAAATTATGAAATCTTTTGAGAATATGCAATAGAATGAATGGTCAGTGTAAGCACAATGACAATGACACATCTCATTAAACACCCTTCTGACGCATCTCATTAAAGCCAATACAATAATTTAAATGAGTACAGTTATATGTGTGTGTGTGAGTACACCTAAGACCTCAGAAACACACCAAAGATCAGATCTATCAAGAGTTTTCACTTTCAGAAGTTCCATTTGCATTCAGATTTCTTCTCTGTTACACTTGCTTTAGCTATGGGTAAGGGTTATCTCTTTCCTGAACTGACTATAGATGAAAATACAATAACCTAGAGAGTTTCTCCTATCATCCATGTTAACCTCATCCTTCCCTTAAGTGGAATTATAACTGGTAATGTAAAGAATAAAGAAGTAGCAATAAATGTCCAAGAAAAAGAGAATGTCCCACCTCCTTTAGTTTATTTAATTCCTTCTTGGGATACTGCCTGTATACAGTTTCCATGTGATTTCTGTCCACTGGCCTGTGGATACTAGACCTTGGACCATTTGGCTTCCCTGTTTGATAGTGGGGCACCTGAACACACAAGCTGTCAATGAAAAACTTGTTTCCATGTATTGGGCTCTGGCCAGAGGTGGGTCTGCCTGGAACTGGCTTCCCTTCTCCTTACAGAGGTCACCTCTGCAGCCCACACACTGCCAATGCCTTGCCACACAATCCAGAAAGGAAATGGGCATCAGCAGGTATGCAAGTCACTGTAGATCACCTTCAGACTACCTCAGGCACAACAGACTCAGCCATATGGTCCAACCCTCAGTGGAATGGTCTCCATGGCAAGTCCTTAATTTCAGCAGAGTTTTGGTCCCTCCACTTATATAACTGAATAAACACTGATTTGCTTAAATAGAGAAAATTCACATAGATTAGACTTTATATAAATCATACAAATCAGCTTCAGTTAAAAAATTTGTTTGTACTTATTTCCTTCCAAGACATTAAATAAAGGCAATAAAGACTCAGTGGAATGAGGACTCCAGAAGAGTTCAGTGTGAGTTCCAGGTGCACAATGAATGGTGACTAATAACTTGGTTTATGATACCCATATCACAAATTCTTAGTTTATCAAAACACATATCCAATAAAATTATGTATATTATAGCTCGAGTTCATATTTAGCATTCTTGACATGTTAAAAAGAAGTAAGTGAAAGGGTAACCCAGGGTAAATGCCATGGAAGGAAGCATAACTTCACTGAAAAATCTCTTTTATCATTAATTTGGGATAATTTTAACCAAAATAATTAACTATAAAACAGCAGTTAAATAAAAAAAAAAAGGCGCTTAAATAGAAATGAACAGCAAAGAATAAAACACAGTCTAGAATGTCTGTTCTCTTCTTTCTTCCATTTGATGCTATCAAAACTGACAGAGAAGTTGTGAGTCTATGACTTGCCTATAATTTTTTCCTCTCCACGTATAGGTAAACACCAGATCTTTTATTTTGCTTGCACATGTTTGAAGTTCTGTCTCCTCTGTTCCTTCTAATCTATATTACAGCTTATCCATTTCAGGTAGCTCAAACACTTTCATAAAAATCTTCTCAGTGATCATAGCAGTCTCCACCTGTCTCTTCTAACCTTACTGCAAGCAGTAAGCAATGGATGTCTGAATTTCCCTTTAATCCTTTCCTCCAAGTTTCAAGCCGATCCTTTTCATACAAAACCTCCTAGTACATTGCTTTCTAATTTTCTTTTTCACACGATGCACAATGATTCCATTTGTACGTTTTGTACACTTTTCCCCTTTCTTATTGTTTTCACCATCCATTCCCACTATGCAAATCTTCCTTTAATACAAATTTCTCCCTT